TTATTTGGCAGCTTTATCTTTTGATATTTCATTAGATAACAAGTTTTCCCCAACCAAGATCATTTACAACTGAGGTAAAAAGTAAGTTTTAATTTGCTAAAACTTTTGCTAATACAATTAGCCAATTCTTACAACAGAATGACAATTTGAAAGTTTTTTCAGGGTAGGAACTCTTTAATTTTTTAAAAATTGTGAATATTTAAAGTATACAACATGATATTATAATATGAATACATAGTAAAATGGTTTCTATAGTGGAACAAAATAACATACCCATCATTTCACATAGCTACCCGTTCCATCCCCATCCTGTGGCAAGAGCAGCTATAATCTACTCATTTAGCTAATTATAGTCCTCATGTTGTACATTAGATCTTTCAACTTGTTCATCCTACATAAGTGCTACTTTATATCATTTGATCTTTCTCTCCCCATTTCTTCTCTGTACCCCAAACCTGGTAGCCACTGTTTTATTCTCTATTTCTTTACTTATTGACCCTTTATTCCTCTCCTCATCCTCCTCCTCTTCCTCCTTATTCTTCTTGACTCCACACATAAGTGAGATCATGCAATATTTTTCTTTCTGTGATTGGTTTATTTCACTTAGCATAATGTCCTCCAGGTCCATCCATGTTATGGCAAATGGCAGGACTGGTGCTGGGGATATAGCCCATGTTCTCACACATGCTAAGCAAATGTTTTACCACTAACCAACACTCCTAGCTCTCTCCCCTTTTTTAAAGCCTGGATTATACTCATGTGTATATCTTACATATCTCACAGTTTCTTTCTTTCTTTGTTTGTTGATGAATACCTAGGTTATTTCCACATCTTGGTTATTGTGTATAATGTTTGCATTTATGTCAGTAACATACTGGGTTTTTGGGAACTGGGGGTTGAACTTAGGAGCACTCAACCTCTGAGCCACATCCCCAGCCCAATTTTGTATTTTATTTAGAGACAGGATCTCACTGAGTTGCTTAGTGCCTCTCTATTGCTGAGGTTGGCTTTGAACTAGTGATCTTCCTGTCTCAGCCTCCTGAGCCGCTGGGATTACAGGCATCTGCCACTGCTGTTTTTTTTTTTTTCCAAATATATTTTTAGCTGTAGATGGACATAATACCTTTATTTTATTTATTTATTTTTATGGTGCTAAGGATCAAACCCGGTGCCTCATATGTGCTAGATGAGTAGTCCACTATTGATCCAAAACCCCAGCCCAACATACTGCTTTGATTAAAATAGTTTTGTAATATAATTTTAAACCAGGAAGTGTGATACTCCTAACTTTTTTTTTTAATTGAAAACTGTCATTGGGATTTCTTTGTCAAGAGTGAAAGGACATGGGCTGGGGATGTGGCTCAAGCAGTAGCGCGCTCACCTGGCATGCGTGCGGCCCGGGTTCGATCCTCAGCACCACATACAAACAAAGATGTTGTGTTCGCCGAAAACTAAAAAATAAATATTAAAAATTCTCTCTAAAAAAAAAAAGAGTGAAAGGACAAGGATTATTCAAGTGAGAAGAAAAGAGAGAAATTTCACAGGGAGAGTTGGGTCCAATAGCAAAGTTGCTGCTTAAATGTCTAGATTATTGCTATCAGGCTAACAGTATTTGATCAAAATCTATGCTAAACAGGTCCTGGAAAAGTACCCACACTATTGATCAAAATACAGTTGGGATTTTGATTGCATTGAAGCTATGTATCACTTTAGGTAGTATGGAGATTTTAACAATTCTTCTGATCCATAAGCATCGAAAATCTTATTTGTGTCCTCTTCAATTTATTTAGGAAATCTATCTTGTATGTTTCTCTATTCCTTTTAATACTGAGTACATTTCCTATGGTACAATCTTAATATATTTGGGTATTTATGTTAGGGACTATAATATAATGCAAGATTTTACTGGTAATCATACTTGGATAGATGAAAAATCAGCAAAATTCACTTTTGGGAGTAGGTGAGTTCTTTTTCTCCATACGGCAGAATTAATTTTTTATTATTATTTTTTTTTACTTTTTTTAAAATTTTGAGACAGGGAAGTTGCTGAGGCTGGCTTTGAACTTGTAATCCTCCTATCTCAGACTCCTGAGTCTCTGGAATTACAGGTGTAGGCCACTGCAAGATCAGCTGTTTTTTAATCACAAAAACTTTCATTGTGACCTGGTACCTATACTTATGGGTTATTGTGGGGGGCTTTTTATATGTAAGATTATCTTCTTCTCTGGAAGTGTCCAGTCCAATTCCAAATTTTCACTCCAACAATGTAGATTTGGTCATAACATGTTCCTGTAGAAAATATTCCCTTCATTTTGTATAAAGGCCTTCACTTCCTTCAGGTACTTTGGGATTTGGGGCTTCTAAACAGACAACCTTCCTTTATCAAATAACATAAAATAAACTTCTTGAGATTCTTCCTTATAGAAATTTCATAAAATAAATAATAGAGGGCTGGGGATGTAGCATAGTGATAGAGCACTTGCCTAGCAAATATGAAGCTCTGGATTCAGTCCTCAATAGTTCAAAGAGCAAAGGGACAAAAAATGCTAGTAGGAGAAAATGTTACATTGTTCAAAACACATGGAACAGACTGTAGAAAGAGATGGGAATAGTGGTAAACAGTTAAAGCAACTGTATCAGAAAAGCTCATATTGGGAGTACTAGTAATGTAACAGTACTTATTAACAATTTCCAATTGCCACTCCCCCCCTTCATTTAACTTGGATAGTAATGCAAGCATGATTAGTGTGATTGGAGAAATGGGAAGCCTCATATGAGGTTCAACAATGGAAATGTAAAAGTGTGTGGAGAGTTCAGTGAGAAAGTGAAATTAAATCTTATAGTTGTTGGACTTTTTTTTCTTTTAATAAAGACCATGGATTATTAAAACAAAAATATCCACAAGTAGTTAAGTTTATGAGGAAGCATCAACCATCTACCTGTAAGTGCTTAGAAGGTAAGGATATATTTCTTTTTTGTTTTTGTATTCTTAAAAAGCAGGATGTATTTGGCATATTATGAATGCCCAGTAACTGTTTGAGTCATTCAACATGTGGCCTAATATGGTCATATAATAACACAAGGCAGTTTTAGAGACATAATTCTGGTTCAAGGTAGCGCTATTACTTCTTAGATAGGGCTGAGAATCCAACAGAGAATTATTTTTTGTTTATGCAGAGGCAAGGGCCAGGATTGTAGCAGCCCTGTGAAAGATAAATGGAGTTTTTCTCATATATATTGGTACCCAACCTCATTACACAGGGATTTGGCTGTTTAAGAAAGTGGAGTCTATTCATAAACCTTTATTATAAAGTACAGAAGAACAATATTCTCAAGTTATGTTTACTTAGGTTTTCCCCAGTGAGTGGTTCTTAATCTTTTTTGTCAATATTTGCCATCAGTTGTTGTTAATTCGTTATAATTATTATTTTCTTAGTATTTATTTTTTAGTTGTAGTTGGATACAATACCTTTATTTTATTTATTTTTATGTGGTGCTGAGGATCAAACCCAGGGCCTCGCACTTGCTAGGCGAGCGATCTACCGCTGAGCCACAACCCCAGCACTAATTCGTTATTATTAATGGATGTGTTCTTTGACGCTTCGGAAATCGTGCTCAATACGGGCCCCAAGTGTTCCTTTAAGCCTCAGGGAAGATGACTTAGGCTGAAGCCTGTACCCAAAGCCACACCCACTAAGAGTCCTTAAGAAACTTGGTGTGGCCTGGCGGAGACTCATCTGGGGCGGCCACGCGGTGCATTGGAATCCCGTGGCTCGAATTCCACCTTTCTCCGTGGGAGGCGCGTCCCTCCCTTCAGTGGGTCAACTCCGCGGGTCCACAGGCCCCGGGCCAGCTCCCTTTCCAGCGGAAGCTCCCGGCCTTCAGTCTAAACACCGCGTACCGAGCTCATTTGCATAAGGACGCGCGCGACGCCAGCCAGAGGGAGGGCGGGCGCGGCCGGGGAAGCGGCGCGCGCGCGCACCCTGACAGCTCGGCCCTGCTCGCTCACTGGCTCGTTCCCGGCTTCCGAGCACAGCATGGCGGTCAAGGTGACTCCAACTCTCTGCTGCTGCCTTTATTGCATAAGAGACATTCCAAGGGCCCTGCCTGCAGCCCCCCAGCTCTCTCAATTTCCTTCTTTGCGTAGTTATTAGATAGCGCGTCCTAGGGCTCCAGCTTGCGGGTGGGAGAGCTGATGGGCAAGGATCCGGAGGAAGAGGATGCCCGGCTGGGGGAGGGGAAAGAGGAGGGATTGTGAGTTGGAGGGGTTGTGAGGACCACTGGTCAACGAAGGAAGAGTAGTGTGTCCTGCCCTAGGTCCATGGGATTGTGAGCTCGGAGTTGAAGAGCATCGGAAAGGGAGTGGGAGGAAGTGGCAAGTAAAGCCGGGGATACCTAGGGCATCCGTGTATTGCGGTGGGGGAGGGGGTGAGTACTGAGTAATTTGGGGCCTCAATACTGCGGAGAGCAATGGTTGACATTTGCGTTGGAGGTTGCAGGATGTTGAAAGCATTTGTACTGGTGGCAGCTCTTTTAGGTTTTAGGTTAGATGGGGAACTAGAGGGGCGCTGAGATCTTTGTTATTATTTCTTTCCAATGGGAAGAAAGGCTGCTAATCCATGCCATTAATTTAGGTGTTTTGACTATCCTGTTGCTCCACTCTTGCAGGCCTCTTGATTTCAAGGTTGGTGGTTGCTACTGTGTTGTGGAGTAAAATAAAGAGTGATATTCATTTTCTTCCCTTTTCAGTTCAGAGGAAGCACTGTGTGTAATTTGCTATATCCCAGGCTATTCACACCCGCCTTTCCACTCTGTAGTGACAGATCTCAAATTTGACAGTTGTTATCAGCAGTTAGGGCTTTTGGGTTGTTTTAGACTAAATGCCCTTATAAAAGATAAGAGCATTGATTGTTAGCAGTTGTGAACTCTAATCTGGAGATTGTGTGACCTTTAGTGAAGCATTAACTAGCTTTTTTTCTTTTCTTTTTTTTTCCTTACAGGTGCAGACAACTAAGCGAGGTGATCCTCATGAGTTAAGAAACATATTCCTACAGGTAAATTATGTAATTCATGTTTCATTGAAAAAACAAAAAGGTGTAATCAGTAGTTCATTTGAAGCCTTAACGCTGAGGAATATTCTATTTTCATGTATTCTTACATTGCTAGACAATATAATTTATTTTTCTCTTGTTGATGTTTGACTGAGGGTTTTCCTTTATATTAAGGGTTGTTAAGATATTTTCCTCAGGCCTTAAATCGGGCATCTGTAATCCTAGTTACTTGGGAGGCTGAGACAGTAGAATTACCTGGATGACATAGGGAGACGTTGTCTTTAAAAAAGAAAAAAAAACTGATGTGATTCTGCAATCTGTGTATGGGGTGAAGGTGGGAGTTCATAACCCACTTGAATCAAAGTGTGGAATATGATATGTCAAGAAATTTGTAATGTTTTGAACAACCCACAATAAAAAATTAAAAATAAAAAAAAAAGAAAAAAGAAAAAAAAATCCTTAAATTAATGTTGTTGTTGTTTTTTTTTAATATGACTTAAGCGGTGTAAAAGTAGACTAAAAAGAACTTCCAGCTTCTCCTAAGTACTGAGGCTAATTAAAAAATTCAAAATGTATAGGCATTCTTATATAGGTATAGTGACTAATTCTTCTTTGAAAGCTGCATGTTTTATAAAGTTTTTCTACTTAAAAACAATCCTCCATGTAATTAATTACAGATATAAGGCTACTGTAGGTATTCTTAATTTGTGTGTTTTCCCCCTCTACTTATTTATATTGTATCATAGGCCTTTGGAGGTTTTATTCCAAAATGTTGTCTTGCCAGGTGCAGTGAGTGGTACATGCCTGTAATCCCAGTGATTGGGAGGCTGAGGTAGGAGGATTACAAATTCAAAGCCAGCTCAGCAACTTAGTGAGACCCTTTCTCAAAAAATAAAAAAGGGCTGGGGAGGAGCTGGAGCTGGGGCTCAGCAGTAGCACTCTTGCCTGGCATGTGTGAGGCACTGGGTTTGATTTTCAGTACTGCATATAAATAAATAAAAATAATAAAGGTCTATCAACAACTAAAAAAAATAAAAAAGTTCTGGGGATGTGGTTCAGTGGAAAATCACCTCTGGATTCAATCTCTGGTACCTAAAAACAAAACAAAAAGTTGCTGCCTAAAATTCTTGCAAGGATCTACCTTAACTTTTGCTAAGCTTTTAGGATCAGAGACTTGTCTGTAGAATTAAAAGGAAAAAAAAAAAAAAAGGTAGGCTTAGTTTTTTGTTTTGCTTTCTTAATTTCAAAAATTTCCTATGTAGGAAATTAAGCTTAAGAAGTAAATGTAAAGGGAAAGAAGCTAGTGTGTGTTTTTTTTAAATATTGTATTTTTTTCTGAAATCTTCTTTTGAGAATTTCTATTCTGGATCTGGGTTCTTGTGTAGACACTTTAACCTTGGACAGATTCCTGCTGGGTATTATTTTCCTCTGTAAAATGAAAGGTGACCTCCAAGGTTCCTTCCAATTCCAAAAGTCTGTGATTCTATATTAGGAACAGATTCTAACATACTCTGATGTGCCTGGAATAGATGACATTTTTATCTGAGACATGTGGTTTACTTAAACTATTGTTGGGAAAGAGACTGCATAGATGACCATCCATATGTATAGTTCATGAAGAAGAATTAGTAAAGGCTGGGGATGTAGCTCAGTGATAGAATATAATATACTTGCCTAGCATGTGCCCTGGGTTTGATCATCACACTGAAAAACAGTTAGGAAAAATGAGAATATTAAATTTTATAAAATATACTAAGGGAAGTATCTTTTCTAGAACAAAAATAATTGTGATATAATTGCTCCATTTGTGGCCTGAAATTTTTATTTTTCACAAGTATTCTTGAGAATACCCAAAATTATATCAGTATTAACATAGCATATAATTATACTCGATGTTTTATGAGGAATTCCTATGATATCGTTACTTTTATTTTCTAGATTAGAATAGTGTGGAGGAAATCAGTTAGAATGTTGCATGATGTACTGAAAAGAGCATTGGTTAAGGTAATTCCCAGGTCCACATCTACCTGGCTGTTGTTGAATGCTTAGAATAATTATCTAAGCTTTTTGAGTTTTATCTTCTCATGTGAGATTCAGTGGGCCATAACGGAATTGGAATTGAGGTTCTTCCAGCTTTAAAAATTGTGTAGGGGTAAAAAATCTGTGATTCTATATTGATTGTTTTTGTTTTTGAAGAGTGGTGTTGGTGGTGGTTGTGATGATGGGAGGGCTTGAAGCTACAAAGAGAGAGGCCAGGACTCAGCCTACCTCTTTGACAACTTTTAAATCTTACTTTTTCATTTAATGTTTTGCATATACTGTCACTATCTTTTTACATATTATATTGCAATACTGGGGATCAAATCTAGGGCCTCAGGCATGCTACGCAAGCACCCTGCCAGTGAGCCTTACCAGTCCCTTACAAAGTATTTTGATGTTGACTCTAATTTTATTTTCATACTGATAATTTGTAGAATTTATAACTGCATATGTAGCCCTAAGCATAAAGCATTGTCTCAAGCATTATTAATAAATAAGATCATGAAGACATTTATCTTCAGGAAAGCTAAAACTGCAAGGAAGATAAAATATAGCCAGTTGGATCAACAGAAGGACAGTTCCAAGTATTATATTAGGCAACTTTCAAGTATTTTTCCAAAAAAAATATTTATTACACATGCATATATGTTCTATTAATATTTTAGATTTAATAGAAGACAAAAATACATGCTAACTATGTATTTCTTTAGCACTTAAAATATTTACCCAGCAGATTGAGGACTATTTTCTATGTGCTGTGCACTTGTATTCTATTATTCATTAATAAATACTAAATAGATTAATTGAAGCAGAGAATTGAGCTAGGTCATGAATGATGATGGGCATGTGGTTGGACTAGCCTCTCTCTGAGGCCTATTTCATCTCTGTTTGGGGTTGAAGCTATTGAGAATAGTGAAGGCAAATGCAAAGCCTGTGGTAGAGCAATCAGACTGGCTTGCCTAGAACAGAGTAGCCATACAATGATGACAGTGGTTAAGAGATACTGATCATTTAGAGTGTGCTGTACATTGACCCAGTACTCTAAGGATGGTATGTTAATTTTCATAACTTCTGAGGTTTAGTGTTCTTGTTATGTAGATGAAGTTAAATGACTTTGTTAATGTCCCTTAGTTTATAAGTGGTAGAGACCAGAGTTCAAATCAAACTACAGAACCTATAATCTTAACCCTTATACTATACTTGCATGTAAGATTCTGAAATGTGATGATTTTTGAAAGATAGGCATGTCAGGGACTAATGGCAACTTTGTTAAGAAGTTAAAAAAAAAAAACCTGGTTATTTAGGTGATGAAATAAAAAAGTGCCTTTATGCTATAACTACCTAGAACAGTTGGCAAGGAGTTTGGATTTGAAACAGTAGGGAGGCACTGTGGGTTTCTGAGTGGGCAAATTGAAGTGGTGAATTCTGGCAGCTCTTTGTGTATGTTGGATAAAATGTAGAGAGATTGGAAGTAAGTGAGGCGATCAGCTAAGAGGCTATTGAAATAATACATGTGGGAGATAATGACCTAGAGTGGCTGATGACTGGGTAATGGAAAGGAAGGACAATACCAGGGACTTTGTAAGGGAAGAATCTATTGATTTGGTATTATATATGGAAGTAAAGAAGAAATAGTGTACCTGGAATTTTTTAAGATAGGTGTTAGTTTATTAGGCATTTATTTGGGGATTTTTTTTGTGGGATTGCTAAATAAATGTGACCCATTAAGTTAAAGTCAGGTTTGAACAGATACAAATTTATACAGGTGATAGATGAATCCTTGTAGTTATGAGAGTTAAATGTGAAATAAGCAGGACAGGATCAAAAGCTGATTTATACACAATGTTCATAATTGAAGTAGGAAGGAGGTGGAGGAGAACTAGGGATAATAGTCCCATGAAAGTTTAAGGTTGGAGTTTCACAAAAAATGTTAAATCAAAGGTTAACATATAAATTGTTATCAGTATGGTTTGGTTTTGGTAAGATTTGGGATTATTTGAGTTTAGGGCCATTTCAACTAAAGGCTACAGAGTACACCTACAAAAATGCGAAGTTATATGCCATGTATGTATTATATGTCAAAATACATTATACTGTCATGTATAATTAAAAAAAAGAAAAAAGACTACGGAGAAGATTTAATTTTAAATTTTAGAATATAGTTGAAAGCTCTGTAAAATTGAGATCTGTGATAATAACCGTCTAACTTCATACTAGTATGGCTCAAAACTCCTTTGTTGTGTAAAACAATTATATGTTCCTTTTTGAAAGTACAGATGTATTCATGTTTAGTGGAATTATATATAGGTCTGTGAGGAGGGCTTTGTAAGAGTAAAACATTTTTATAGAGAAATGAGAAATAGGTTCATTTTTTTTTCTGTGTTCTTTATTGCTTCTCAAAATTTGATGAGCTATGTTTTCTTTCTTTCTTTTTTTTTTTTGTGGTGCTGGGGATCAAACCCAGCATCTTGAGCATGCTAGGCAAGCACACTGCCACTGAACTACACCCACAGCCCACAGGCCTTTTTCAAATTTTATTTAGAGACAGAAACTTGCTAAGTTGCCCAGACTGGCCTTGAACTTGCAATCCTCCCGTCTTAGACACTGTAGTAACTGGGATTATGGACATGGGCCACTGTGCCCAGCCAATAAACTGTATTTTCTGTTAGTTAAAAAAAAAAAAAAAAAAAAAATTACTAGGATTCTGCTTTTTCCCAGTGTACCCCGAACCCCCAAGTTCATGCAACTGGAGCACAAAAAATGAATTCTTATGTGTTCTACTGTGCTATAATTTTACAACCAGTTGTCAAACTAACATTTTACTATTACTACCCTTAAAACTGTCATTTTTTGATTTATCTCTTTCTTCTTTTACCTTTTTCACCCACACACTATCGTTGACCTAGTTTTGCTACATCAGAAGTATACAATAGCAAAAGGATACAATAGAAGCAGTGAAGATG